GTGCGCATGCGTCTTCAGCCACCGCTACTGCCGCCACCAACTTCATCTAGCATCCCCTCCTAGTCGGGCCGCCGCCACGCGACCGTAACCCCCTCCAGAAGCGCGAGCGTGTGTCATGCTCAGGGTAGTGCTCGGTGCGTGCCCATTATTAAGGAGGGGGTAAGGGGCGCGTGTTGCTACGACGTCCGCGTGGGGGTAACCTAGTCGGGAACGTAGTGGGGATGGAATTACGCTCCGCGAAGGGACAGCCAGTAGTTCCGTGCTGTCGGTCGTGCGGATAGGATGCGACGAGTGTGACGCGAGATAAGTCCCCGTCTCGTCACCCCCTAGAGCCACCCTTAACCCTTGCGAAACGTCGTCAGCCGCGTTGAGACGCGCGCGCTTCTTCATCACTAACTCGAGGGCATCATCCGGAGCACACGAGGCGTTCGATCGCGAGCGGAAAAAGAACGTTGCCCGCGTCTCCACTCGTGTCCGCATTTCGCTCGGAGATCCCAGTTTCACAACCCCCTGTGCCGACGACCGCGTTCGAGGACGCGCGAGTATACATGTCGTGATGCCGCGGGGTGAGCGACGCGGGCCGTCGAGAGAACTCGCGGCCGAGGGTGTTTCGATCTCATCCTGACGATACCAGCCTCGTGCGTCATCCTCGGTGGACGCTCAAGAGAGTGGGTGCATCTCGTATAGAAATAATGTTGGTGTGAGTGAGGAAGCCCGACACGGTGGTGGATCGGATTCGCGAATGGATCGAGGATACGGTTTTAGAGATTGTGCCGGTTCTCCGATGCACGATTTTACGGAGTGAAAGACGAGCGCGACGCGCCGGGATACTTTGTGTGTCCTATTGAGCGCAAGTGTGTGCGACGTGTAACACGTGTGTGACAGTTACCCGTGGGATACCACTGTGGATAATACGCTTTCTTCAACTGCAAAAGGGTGGTTGAAGGTAGTTCGTGTGCGGCATCGTATACACACGCAGATACATACATACATATATATATATATATAGATATATATTTATATATATATGTATATGTACACACGCCAGTGGTTCTCTCTCCGGTGAACGACGAATTCATTTTTAAAGGATATGTCCGTATAGTGTTCGCGCGCGAATCGGAGCTACGATGGCTGGATATTCCAGTGCGTTCAATACGGATTTTGTTCCGGAATCGGCGCTGAGGATGAGGCGATCTGCGATCGATGTTATCAGGGATGCCGGGGAATTCTCCAGGTGCACTGTAACAAGGTGAGCTATATATCCTGCATGAATAAGAAACATCTTACGCTATCTTACGAAATTATTTGCAATTATGGTTTATTACGAAATATTTCACTCAAACGATGAAACTTTAAATGGTAGCATAAATTTTCTCGTGTGTAAACTTCACGCGTGTTTTTTAGATTAACGAAGAAAAATATATTTTATTTATAGAATGTATGACAAATTCTCTCTCTCTCTCTCTCTCTCTCTCTCTCTCTCTCTCTCTCTCTCTCTCTCTCTCTCTCTCTCTCTCTCTCTCTCTCTCTCTCTCTCTCTTTTATGCATTTCTCTTCATAGTGGCTGCGTTAAAAGTACATGCGTTTACTTTCAGCTTATAAAATTTATTTCTATATACACGCACACACACACACACACACACTCGTGTGTCACGGGTCACATACGTTTCAAAAATTTGATTACGTCAGTCAAATTTAAACACATAAAACACACGCGCGTTTGTTGAAAAAACTTTGAGCATATTTTTTTATCACTTTGCTACGTAAATCTCTTATAAATTTATACGTGCATATCAAAGTTTAAAAAGTGTCGGAATGAGCTTGTTCTATTTTACAAGAATGGATATGTGCATAAATTTGACTTATAAAAAATATTTTTTCTTCAAAGTTGTATCAACATGAAACTTTGAAGAAAAAAATATTCGCTCTCTCTCTCTCTCTCTCTCTTGACGTTATAAAATTCTACGTAATGAAAACTGTACTGAGTATCGCGTGCAAGATTATGGCTTTTTAGGTAAATCTAGTATTTTATTATAATTTGATGCAAGTATATATCGTGAGAGTACTCACTTTTGATCTCACGAAACCGGGAAAGCTACAACATTTAAACGTACGTACGTCGCGCGTATACATTATACATATGCACATGCGTGCAACGCGACTCGCATTTGCCACAATGCAGAATAATCTATGGGGATTCCAGTGACAACGGCTTCCAACGTCCGTAGCATGTGCGCACGTTCGACGCCTTAAAATATTCACGAAATCAATATTCTGCACTTGTCGCAATATGCGATTTTAGTCGACGCATCAAGGCGCATCGAGACTTTATCGTGAGAATTTTCGACAAATAGGTAGATCAAAGACACATTGTAAACCGTTGTCGATGCGTGATCTACCTTGCGCGAATTGTGTCAAAATTAATTCTTGCTTTTGTATACAATACACATCGGGCTCATCTGTTTTCGATAACAAATTTATTTTTGTATATGCCAAGTTTTTATAATTTTATTCTACATATTTTTCTAAAAGTTTTTCTATATTTTTATTCATTTTTTTATTATACATATTGTTCCTATTTATATAAAATATTATGTAGCATGCAAAAAACAGTTTTAAATTGATTACACGAACGTAGTTCCCGAAACAGGTGCGGAGCTAATGGACCCGTCCACTAGGCGGAGGGTTAAGTGACACGCGGTGAAATTAAATGCCGTTACCCTTCCCTCCCTCCCGAAGAAATTTACGCGATCGATAGAGATACGCGTGGTATATAAATATATGGCACAGTACCAAGGTCCAAGAGATGCGCTTTAGATCGCCACATCGGCCGATGATAAATGGCCCGAGTTAATGACCAACGTACTATTAATGAGAAAGAGGATTTGTTGATGTCGGCAAAAATAAGCGAGCGACGAATAAACGTAAAGGGTGGTAGATGCTTAGATTAGGTTTTTTTTTGCCAGAGTTGTTTTTGTCAGAGGTGACCGTGTCCATTATAGCGGAAGATATTGACTACGCGCTTCCGGAACAAATATAAATTTCTCTCTCGTCGCTTTAAATTTACTTTAGTCCGCGGTTATTTTAAATATCTCGGTAAAATAACTTTACAATAGTTATTTGAATTTTTAGAAGTTTTCCAATATTTAGTTTCGGTTTTATTTGGTTATACGTGTTTTCTCAATATATTTGGAAATCGGCGCGATATAATATATTGACAGATATTGTGAAATATAAATACGAAATGTGAAAAAAGTAGTAAAATATCTGAAAATTTGGAAGCAAAAGTTAAGTTTGGTATTATTATTGCGATAATACATCTATTTTCGAGAAAACTACTAATTTATATCGGATTCGCGGTAGCAAAAGTTTTGAATGGCAATCAACTCAATTTTGTTGAAACTGCGCAAGTTTTGCAGACAATGCCGAGTATCGTTTTCCTATTCAAGGTTTTCATTATGACAAACAAATTTTGAAGAGTTAGTCTAAGATCGAAACCGTTTGTTTTCTTTCTGTAACTTGTTAGACTTATTGTTTGACTTGAAGAGACGTGGAAATAGAGGGATTTAAATTTCGAAAGTTATAATAATATCAAAATGCTATTATAATAATAAAAATGCTATTCACACTTAGATAATAATAATAACAATGTGAAAATGCTATTCGCAGTTATTATACCTGAGAGTGTATATTGTTGCTCTCAAATAGCGAATATGTAGTAAACATCTATTACTTTTAAATATGAATATATTGAAGAGATTATATCGTCGTGTGGCGCGCGGAGAATAAGCTTCTGATATGTGCGCGAAGAGAGAGAGAGAGCTCGCCACCGCGCGCGAACGCGATACGCGGGTTAATGTCTCTATTTTCGGGGGTTCGTGTTTGTTACCCTAAAGTGAGAATGTATAGATCGTATCGGCCGGACGTTTACCTTCATTGCCTCCTAGTAAAGAAATATTTAGGCAACAGCTTGGGGGTTCTATAAATTTGCGGCGTGAAATCAATTATTCCTCGCAAATATAAGCAGAATTTATGAGTCTTATACGGACTCTCTCTGCCTCATTTGCATGCGGGAGGTCCTTACGGTTTCTTTCGTAGCAAAACGCGTTAGACAACTCAGCGCGAATATTTGAATATTTACATTGCCTCGTAATAGATAACATCGTAAATTGGTTCCCCTCCGGGCGTTTGTGTGAATTAAGAACTTTGTCATCTTAATCGTCGAACAATTTGCATGTGAATGGCGGCAAATCTCTGATGTGCCTGTTGAAATATCGTGTGATTTAAGCGCGGCGTAATCTGTAAAATCCGGTTGGAAAACGGATTAAGGGAAGGTGGGGGAATCCTTTCGTCGAGTTCTAAACACAAATCGGTCATCAAGTACGTCAAAGACGTTCTCGCGAAGATATTAAGATTATGATTGAAGATTGCCCCGCGCGAGATAGCACGGGCAAACATTCCTTGTGTCACTACGCTCTGTGTGCTTTACGTATGTACGTTAGACGATCAGCTAACAACTCTCCCTAATAATTAAGTCCAAGCGCGGTGAGCACGCGGCCAACGAAGGAGGTCTACAGTTAACTCGCGTGCATCCATCGGTGATTTTCAACGTTTAATGAGAAATCTAAATTGCGGACTGAATGCCGCAATGAGTTCCGCCGCAAAGTTCCACAGTAGTACGCGCGAAGTTGGCGCAATCGGAATCTTGAGATTCTCACCAGAAAGGTTAATTCCACTTAATAGTACGGGAAAACTTCAATCTCGAAGGTTTTATAAGTTCGATAACGAAGCCGTAGGAAGGGCGCATCCTTTTTTCTCTCTCTTTCTGTCTCTGTCTTCGACATATCATCGGTAAAAAAAATTGTGGACTCTCGAGAAGGCAACGGATTATGAGGCTTTGGGTAAACTTGAACGCGTACAGACCCGATAAAAGTGGCATTTGCAGTCGAAATTTTAATACACAAACGCAAAATAGAGAGAAAAAGACAGAAAGTGAAAATAAATAACAATTACGTTGGCACTATTATAACGGCATCGTCGTCGTAAACCAATCTGTCTACGGGCGAAAATGCATTAGGAAAACACTCAGACGGAAGAATAACAGAATTCACTTGAGACGAGAACTATAAATCCGGTGAAGCAGATGGAAGATCTTATTTTAATATCACCGTTCGATTCGTAATAAAGCAATTGATTGTCCGAACGCCATTTCAAAAGCATCTAGCGTAGTTTAAAGATTGCCACATAAAACTGGGTCCAGTTCGCGTATATTCAAGAATTATAAAAATAAAAAAGTCTTCTATAAACTAAGCTGAGAAAATTAATCAAAAAAAATATGTCGTTTTATCAGTATTTTATTTTATTTTATGTTATTTTTTTTTGAAAGAAAAATATCTTCGCCAATATTTTAATTATTGGATATGTTTATTTGGAGTGATAATACACGCTGAAATGTAATTTAAATGAATGCCATATGTCACACAGAACTCTCTCGCTCGCGTGTGATTTAACATATTGCCTCCACCTTTTGAATTCGACCCTCTTTCTATTTACCCATTATCGATGACAATCAATAACCCGCTTGCATTCTGTTCAGTGCATTACTATTTTCTCCCTATTGTTGCTCATTATTTACAGATTGCTATTAATTATGGTTCTCGAATGAAAATTAATTCTTGATAAAACGCGCGCAGCATGATCGTGTGATCGAATTACGCCTGGATTGTATTGTGAATAATTCAGATCGTATAATCGTCAGAGCATAGAGTCGTCGGCGACATCCCAGCTGAAATCGCTATAGTATCGTGTGTGCATTAATAACATTTGCGTTTTCATTTTTGTTCATTCTCCTCTAACTAAATTACTTCTCGGATCGTTGACCCAATAAATGAAACAGTCGATATATTCCGAATATCGCGATTTTCTATCGAATATGAAACCGCTCGTGTTTGCGTTAAATTAATATGTACATATGTATATATGTATATATGTACATATATATCTCTTTTTATTGCATAAATTTTTATCATATTTTTAAACTGGTTTATACATTTTTTTTTTTACTCAAAATAATATTTCAAGCGAGTTAGCGATACGGTTTTATTGAGAATAAGTTCTGATTACAAAATGCGAAAAACAGAAAATCTTTTCCGCGTCTGTATCAAGATCCGTTTCAACCGTAAGAATTTGATCAATAAAATTCGTGAAAAATATATTCTCAGATCTCTCGTCGAAGTTAATACTTACGAC